TACCACTATGATCCCGAGTCAAAACGTCAATCCATGGAATGGCACTACTCCACTTCTCCGGCACCAAAGAAATTGAAGTCTTCAAGATCAGTTAAGAAAGGTATGGGCAATGTATTCTGCGATGCAAAGGGTGTGATCCTTGTTTGATTACTAAGAAGGTCAAAAGAAGATTACCGGTGTCCAATATGCTGAAATGCGTCATTGCCTGAGAGATTCTATCAAAGAAAAGCGGCGAGAAATGCTGACTGCTGGAGTTCTACTACTTCTTGAGAATGCCTCTTCTCACACCTCTCGACATTGAGACAATGCGGGTTCAAAGAGCTTCCTCACCCGCCATACTCGCCAGATCTTGCACCAAGTGATTTCTACCTGTTTCCTTAACTGAAACAACACCTTTGTGGAAAGCGCTATGACGACAACGAAGACCAGCTGTGAATGTGTTTTTTAGGGTGGCTTCAGAAGACTCCTTCCTGACATATGGTATGTAAGGTGTATGTTATAAAAAAAGCACTTTCATAATTGTTGGCTTTGTTTGTCAGGTTTCACACTTTTTGACCAGCCCCGTATATTAGAATCATGTTTAACATATCTAATGAATTAATTATTATAATAATCTTCATAAGTGACCTTTTCGTATTAATCCTGTTTGGATGTTATGTCATGTGTTGACATTTGTGATACATTTGGTCCAGAATTGTCGCAGTTGATCACACACTTTATTCTCTATTCTATTTAGAGGCAATCTGACGCGTGGGATTTCCAGAAACACTTAGGTCCCAGAAACATCTACGTGTCATAAGAGGTGATTAAATGGATCGGGAGGTCAGGCTCGGTGACTTGGCTGATTGCATGTCATCGTTTCCCAATATTCCGTGGATCGATTTTTGTGATGTCAATCACCATTGTCTGGTCCGGAATCGATTATTTACATCCGATCGTGATATATAATACTGGAATATTGCTGGGTGCCCCTTTATGCAATAATACCGTCAATTATTCATCGTGAATTTATACACTAGTATGGAGTAAAAATATTATTTCTTTCGTTTGAAGGATGAATTAGAAGGAAATTACTTTCTCCTAGTGGTGTGTGGCGTTGATGTACATGTAAGTGAGTAATCCGCCCCGCTATGTGGCGTTAAACTGGGGTACTTAAGGGGTGTCAAGATTTAAATTGTTCATTCTCGCTCAAAGTGCAAGCATGGTCATCAGATTATTTTAGTCATGAATACCGACGCTAAACTTGATGCTATTCTTCAACAATTAGATAATAACAAAGCACAGTTTGAATTGTCTCTTAATGACCGCAGCAGGGCGTTGAGGGAAGAATTCAGTCAGACCGCTAAAGAGTTAAGAAACTGCTAGCTGGATAAGAATATTCGTCAGAAACGCTCACGCCAAGCGCCGTATCTAAGTAGGTCATCGGGGCGATCAGCAACCTTTACCCGCCCGTGCAAGGTGCTTTCTTCCTGCCTCTTCTGTGCAAAATATTCAACCAATCACAAACCAGTCTTTTCGTGCCAAAGGTCAGAAGACAGGAGCATGCTTCACGTGCGGTGATTTCAGTCACTTCAGAAGAGACTGTCCCCAAAACAATGTGTCAGCCCAGAGAATGTACAGTTTTGCAGCTGGAGGCTCATCCCAATGGAATCAAGACCTGTCAGTTGAGTATTTCAGTCATGATGGCGTTGTTGATGATTTGCATTTTTCTAAAAAATCTTACAGAGGACTGTTATGAGTATGAACAAGGTATTACCTATTTCGCACCTGCATTGTGCTTTTTATCTTTTATCTATTGTCCAAAGGAGCGATACAGTGTCACCAGTCATTTCAGCCTTCTATAGCTTAAGACACGCACATTGTAGTGAGGGGCTTGAGAGTCCTACTGAAAATAGTCTTGTGAAAAATGTGTTGGAAGCAGCTAAACGTGAATTTCGCTAAGAGGTGTACGATTCAAGAATTGTAAATGGATCTTTGTCTGATTTGAGAATATTAGCGATGTGCTTATGCTGGATTCTTAAAATCTTCTGAACTGATTAATATTTCTCGTTCGGATATAATATTTTATGAATCTCACATGATAGTTTTTATTGAAAAGTCTAAAACAGATGTATATAGAGACGGATTCTGGATTGTTATCAGTAGAACTCAATCGAAATTGCGTCCAGTTGAATGTTTGGAGCGATATCTAAAACTTGCATGTATTCCGGCTGATTCTGATCAGTATGTTTTCAGAAACCTCAGCAAATGTGCGTCTGGTTATGTGTTAAGAAAAGGCAACAATCCTATGTCTTACACTAGACTGAGGGAACTTTTCTTAGATGCATTGTCTCCCTTTGTAACGAACATTAAAAGTTATGGTCAGCACAGTCTACGTAGTGGTGGTGCTACAGCAGCAGCGAACAGCGGAATACCAGACCGTATGTTTAAAAGACATGGAAGATGGAAGTGTGAGAATGCGAAGGACGGATATATTAGGGATAGTATTAATAATAGAATGAAAGTTTCCCTTTCTCATGGTCTTTGACTTTCTTTGTAGCTCTCGGCCGTGCAACGCACAGCGTGTCCCATTGTTAAGTGTGTTGTTGTCATGTTGCGTAACTGTTGGGCATAGGATAAATATTATTTCTTTGGTTTGAAGGATGAATTAGAAGGAAATTACTTTCTCCTAGTGGTGTGTAGCGTTGATGTGAGTAGTCCGCCCCAGGTAGGTGGCGTTAAACTGGGGTTCTTAAGTGGTGTGAAGATTTAAATTGTTCATTCTCGCAAGCACGGTTTTCAGATTATTTTATTTCTTTATTTGAAAAGTATTGCATTTTCAATGTTTTAATCTGTTGTCTGTATGTTTCAGATTTCTGACAGTGGGGACAGATTCAAATTTGTTATATTTTCGGGCGTATTGTTGTCGCCAGGCTGCAGAGCCATTATAATACAATGTAAGCTGATGTATGTGTAGTCGTACAATGTGATGTTCCTCTGTGCTGAAGAACCATTTTAATACTAATATAAGATGCTGTATGTGCAGTCGTACGGTGTGATGTTGCTCTGGACTGAAGAGCCATTATAATACTGATGTAAGCTGCTGTATGTGCAGTCGTACGGTGTGATGTTGCTCTGGACTGAAGATCAGTTATAATACTAATGTAAGCTGCTGTATGTGCAGTCGTATGCTTCACGTGCGGTGACTTCAGTCCAAAAAAAAAGACTGTCCCCAAAACAACGTGTCAGCCCAGATAATGTCCAGTTTTGCAGCCGGAGGCTCATCCCAAGGGAATCAAAGTTCGCAAGACCTGTCAGTTCTTTACGGGACGAGGCACACGCGTCGGGGGCAGCTTTTAAGCAGGATCTACTCGGACCAGGTTTCGTTCCTAAAGTAGTAAAGTCCCTCTGGTTGCCGCCTCAGTCAATTGAGTGGTTAGGTTTCAGGTTTGATACAACATCTATGATCATGAGTGTTCCTGACAGAAAAAGGGATAAGGTATTGAAGTGCATTACAATGTTCCTACAATCTAAACATGAAATACATAGCTTCTGTCGTTGGTCCGATAATATTTATGAAAATTGTGATGAGTCCAATCTCTCAGCTGATGACAAGATCTCTGAGTATTGACTTTGTTGCATCCCCATCATGGCATAGTTATGTTGTGTTGTCAGATTCAAGTATCAAACAGTTGCAGTTTTGGTCATGTAGCTTACATAAGTATTGTTCCAGATATCTAGCTCAGACAACAGTTACAAGGGAACTAGTATATCCAGATGCCACTGATGGTGGTTACGGTGGCTACTGTGTGGAACTGGATAATGTCACTTCTCATTGGCAGTGGTCAAGGAACGAGGCAATGCTTAACTCGACGTGGAGGGAGCTGAAAGCTGTGCATATAGTGTTACAGAGTTTTGTGTCTAGTCTATCCCACCAGAGTATCTCGGCCGTGCAATGCACAGCGTGTCCCATTATTAAGTGTGTTGTAATGTAGCGTAACTGTTGGGCATAGGAGAATGTCCCGATGAACCTATGCTGGTAGTGTGAGTCGACTAAATGATTAGTGTGATCAGACTCAATATTTCTTAAAGCATGGAACGTTGATTATGATATAACTAACTGCTTTGTCCTGTCCAAACTCGATAATTTGTTGTTGAAATATTGCACAGTATGGAATGAAACAAAGACACACAAAACCACAGTCCAATACGTCTGTTTGGGTATACAACTTTAGGTTCATTTACTATTTTAAATTGGTGAGTGAGTTAAATCATTATTGTTTCAGTCATATAGAGACCCCAATTTTGAGACATGAACGAAGTCATAAAACTAGAGTAACAATGTTTTACTCATGAGGGCGATCCCACTCAAAAGTTTGAAATACGAAACAGTATTCTTCAAATTAGAATGAGAAAGCAAAAATGAGCTTTCATGTTTTTCATTTTTCAAGCCAAACGTTGTAAAGCTGGAATGCCAGAGCATTTTCAACTTTTAGAACAGAGTAGGAAAACGGGACTAGAGATGCAATGCCTTGCTAAAGGTTTTATGGTAGACAAATGAAGGACATTTCCAAATCATCAGTGACAAAACTGACGTCAGATGCAATTACATATTTTGATCCGCACCATGTCATTCCGTATTTCTTTTCAGGTAACAATTGACTTGGCTTTGCATGTGTTTGCAATACATGCCACCGGTGTGGCAGGATACACTCACCTTTTCCTGAACACCCGGTATCACCATTTGATAGTGATTCATAAACACATCTTCATGACTCAACATATCTAATCCATGTCAATGTTTGACAATTAATTTTTACATTCAAACAACTCTGCTTTTAGCAGAGATTTCTTGTGTTTATGGAAAGGGTTTTGTCGCTTTTATATTCAAGATGTCCATCTGTTAGATATTAGAATGGAAACATTACATGAATTGTGTGAACCACTGTATCATAGCAGTTAATAGACTCCGTAAAACTGGACATATCTCTAAAACATGGGTAGAATAAAGAAGACAAGGAGACTTGTTGTATATTTTATTACACATCAGAACACATAAGTACAAAATGGTGCGAAAACTATAAATAGTCAATTGATCCTCTGCGTCAAAGTTTATTTGCCACTGAAATAAGGAAAGCATAGAGTTAATATCGGCATAATATTCTAGATTATACAACATGTTTCATCCAAAGATAGGGGCACGGGTGGCCCAGTCGACTAAGGCGCCGCGATTCGCTGTGCGAGTTGCGTACCTTGGGAACGCCACAAACCTATGATTGTGGGTTCGTATCCCGGTTCGCCCCGATTATGTTTCTAGGTTTGTCAGCACCGTGCTCGTGGGTTTCACCGAAGTGGTAAACGTCTGAGACCTGCATCACTCGGGCTTTCCACCCACATTAAGCTGACACGCCGCGATATAACTGGAATACTGTTAAAAGCGGCGTTAAACCCAACTCACTCACTCACTCATCCAAAGATATATGAATGGTATGACTTCTAACAGATGTATAACGTTGTTGAGCACCATTTAAGGTCACAATTTAATATTACTTGGCACCTCCTTTTCTCCATGCTTTGCAATATTTACAACACCTTACTGGTTATTTCTCAAAAGGTAGAATCTTCCTGGTTACTTACATGCCAGGTCCAAATCCACCTCGTCCACAGAGACAGTGCCCATCGTAGCAGTGGTGAGAAGCACGGCTGTCTCTACATTTGCAGCTGTCGCAGTCGGCACGGGCGCTGCATGTGGCTAAAAAGGGGAAATCGTACTTTCATCTCATGATAAAATGTAAGTTATACTATAAAAGAAAATACGGAATAACAATAGTTCAACACAGAAATCAGAATACTCAGTTTTATGTTATATTCATTCTACATGCTTTCTGAGGTGAGGTGAGGTGAAATGAGTTTTAACGTAGCGTTCAACATTATTGCACTTATCTGGCGACGTGCATGCACAGACACAGTATACTGAGCCGGAGACCACCAGTCCTTGTTTTAGCCTCTAAATGCCGAGTGTCAGGCAGGGTAACAACAACGTGTTTAACGTCTTTTGGTATGATGCGGTCGGGGATTGAACCCCCGACCTTTCGGTCTCTGGGCAAACGCCCTAATACTAGACCAAGAAGGTGGTGCTTCCTTTCTCCTATATTTGATCACATACTTAATAGTTATTGAGAGCTGTGCATATGCTTCAAAACTGTTTCTCATGTGAACATACACTTGGCATTTCGGGGGAAATTGAGACGAGAATCATGATTAGTTTCTTAAGCAGCTATGAGAAAAAATGCCACTTATCGTAAACACTGTCTAAACGTTATCATACCTTGAGCGCAGGAACCAGATGTGGCGGAAGTCAGGCAGGTACATTCTCCATGAGAGCAGCCCAGCTTTGAGGAACTATCGCAGGTCACGTGATCACAGTCTTTCTCATCCCTGCAGGTCTCGCTGTAGATAACAGCTGAAAGGGAAAACAGTGCACATCGAAAACGTCTCACAATGTTTCGTTGTTTGGAACCTTATGATTCAATTAAATTTCAAATTAAGTTACATTTGAACTAGGCGATACTATGTATACTGTCTATGTAGGACTTGGCGTAGATCACGTCTAACCCCTAAAAAGGCAACATGTTATGTCAGATGCTGATACGTATTTTTCCTATTTTATTAATGGTGGAGAAGCTCTCGGTTCGAGAATAACCACCAACACTCTTATTTCCCCTATATCAGTTTATAATTAAAGCGACAAAACCCATTCCATACTCATAGGAAATCTCTCAAAAGCAGAGTCGATTGTACGATTACGACTACATCATGAGCATAGTTATGATACCAGGGCCTACTTGCACAAAGCGATCTTAGCGCTACGACAATTGTAAGCCTTTGTTAAAGTATGGGAGTTACGATCATCTTAGCGCTAAGATCGCTTTGTGCAAGTGGGTCCAAATCTTTTCAACTATATTTTATGTATTCTCTATTCACCCCCTACAACAAACCACAATACTTACCAACCTAAAATGCAAATTATTCTCTCATGAACAATGGGGTGAATACAAACGGAATTTCACTCCACATACAATGTATGCAATAATGTCACCAAATCCTACCCCTTTGTATCTTTGCTCTTTAAATGATGTTTATTTTAAAAGAAAATGCAATTTGAGCAATATCTCTGTATTAACAATCGCCTGTGTAAGGTTAATTCATGAGAGTTCACTTTCATCTGTACTCACCAATGACGGCACAGAAAACGGCGAGAAAGAGGGAAACCTGCATGGCTGAGAGTTCAGGGTGTACTGTTTGTACTGTTTTGAAGCATGGTATCACGTCTATCTTATATACTCTGTTTCCAACTCTTATCAGCACTGATCCAACTCTGTAATCACGATTCTGTTGTGATTGGAACACCTGAAGTCATGGAATTGGGTCACTTGGGTCAGTTTTGTCACGATGTTGACCAAGAGAAACAGTGAACTCTGAAAACATGAAGCTTTATCTTTGTAATTTACAAATAAATATCCACCACGTGTCTACCATAAAACGCTTTTGAAAGCTTTGCAGAGGCCTTGAATGTAACCCTGATCAATAAAAAATAGCAAGTGTAATATTATTATGACGCTTTTGAAATCTTCATAGAAAGAGCACGCTGGATTGTATTTCAAAAGTTGTGAAATGTACAGGCCTAGAGTTGATGGAATATTGCTCGAAAGGGAAACTTAACTATTGGATCTTTATTTTCATACAGTCTTGTGGGTATTTTTGTCACTTTTAATCTTTAAACATATATATGAAGCAAAATGAGGTTGTTCCACTGGTGCCCTTTATTTCTAGTTGAGGTGGGTAAATCAGTGGAATGGATTGGGCTGTTTGACCGTTATTGAATGGTATCAGATGTTCGATATAACTGAAGTGTTAGTTAAACTTCTTGGTTCAATTCCTACGTTTGATTTTGCTAATCTGTTTAAGTGATCATTTCATATAATTAATCCTATTTGAATATTATGTCATGTGTTGAGATTTGTGATACATTTGGTCCAGAAATGTCACAATTGATGACACACATTATTCACCAATCAATATCCGAACGTCATATATATAACTGCACTATTGTTGGGTGTGCCGTTATACAACAAGCAAACATAATAGCGACAATTGTACATCGTGAATTTATACACTTGTATGGAGTAGAATATGTCCCGATCAAGCTATGCAGGTTGTGTGAGTCGACTAAATAAATCGGTGGTCAGACTTGGTGACTTGGTTGATCAATTATAGTTGTGTGTCAAGTATTCTTAAAATATGGGACGTTGATTATGACATAACTGTTAACCCAGAAGCGAAAATGTATTGCTTTAATAGTGTTGAGTGTAGAATGAAACAAAGATGATATCACTGGGTTCAAAAATATATACATATTCACAATTTGGCCTATGTCCTACATTTTATGAATACAGAAATACAGGTGCCTTTACAATGGCTGACAGTTTACATATTTTCCTCTGACGTAGACATGTAAACCTAGAAACCGTTGATGAGTATTTCCAATTTTAAGCAGAAAGGATGCAATATTACAAACTTATAAAGGTCTTTTTGTTAATACATGTACATTCAAACCCTTTTCTAATATTCCTGCTCTGTGTGAACGTTGAGTTATGCACTCACGTACTGGTTCCTGGATGTCAATCAACGTGTGTACGACTCTGTGCCGACATAACGGCTTCAAAAGCGTTAACATTGTGTACAACGTGTTAAATCATTTCTTTTACCCAGTGTAACCAAACGGGCCATACCATATACTAAAAAATGTCCTCTCGTACTTTTTCATTTCAGCGACGCTATCTTGTTTAGCAGATGTAAACGATCACATGACAAGTAAGCGATTTCTGATTGGTTGTCATATGTCAACGTTTGTTCACTCATCAAATATCATTTGATAAAGACGTAAAATGGTAAGAATAGAGACTGTGTCTATACCTTGTGTCACCAAAACATGTATTTGCAAACGCTGGTTGCCCCTGTGAATCCTCCTCTACCTGGGGGCACGAGTGGCCCTGTCGTCTAAAGCGCCGCGATTCGCTGTGCAGAGTTGCGTCCCTTGGACACGCCACAAACCTATGATTGTTGGTTCGAATCATGGTTCGCCCAAATTATGTTCCTAGGTTTGTCAGGACCATACCCATGCTCGTGGGTTTCACCGAAGTGGTAAACATCTGAGACCTGCATCACTTCGGGCTTTCCTCCCACATCAAGCTGACAGGCCGTGATATAACTGGTTATAAGCGGCGTTAAACCCAACTCACTCACTCACTCACTCACTCACTCACTCACTCACTCACTCACTCACTCACTCACTCCTCCCCAGCCTCGTAAACCTCGCTTTGCTTCAAACGTCTCTCAAAGTCTTGATGTGCGTTCTTTTGGACGTCAGTTCATAAAACGTCAACGCCAGACAAAAGCAAGTCTCGCTTATCCGACGAAATTGATTCTATTGGGTTAAAATTTAAAATAGAGGAACATTACATTCCATAAGCAATCATTTCGTGTATGAGTGCCTCATTAAAAGTGTACAACAGTTGTTCTACATTTTGCCCATATGTTTCTTAAAGAGTACTTGTCACTTTAAAGTAATAGCAATTGCGCAGACTTGACGTGAAAACGTTAGTTTCCTTAAAATGTCATATATTGTTATAAATTTCTTATAAACTTAGCCCTTTAAGACCTTTTAATATTGGCCCAGCTTTTATGTCATTATTTTGTAGGACATTTAGTGATCACTTCCCCTTGTCCTAAAAGCGGTAAAACCGGATCATGACCCAACTTCATCACGGTGGAATTTTACTAAGGCCAGTTGGTCCTTGCATGAAATATACTGAACAACAAAAGTTCCTGTGACATTGAATAAGATTTAATGCAAAGTTATGTTTTTTACCAAATCTGAAACATTTCGGTTTGCAACAGATGAAAGACTCCTGTAAGTGTTCAAATGGTTTAAATTGCCATACTGGCTTCAGTGAGTGAGTGAGTTGAGTTTAACGCTGCTTTTAACAGTATTCCAGTTATATCACGGCGTGTCAGCTTAATATGGGAGGAAAGCCCGAAGTGATGCAGGTCTCAGACGTTTACCACTTCGGTGAAACCCACGAGCATGGGTATGGTGCTGACAAACCTAGAAACATAATCGGGGCGAATCGGGATTCGAACACACAATCATAGGTTTGTGGCGTGTCCAAGGTACGCAAATCTGCACAGCGAATAGCGGCGTCTTAGACGACTGGGCCACCCGTGCCCCCAATACTGGCTTCAGAATATTGCGTGATTTCATAAAAAACATGAGCATGCCAAAATGTCAATTTACAAATCAATAGCGTGTGTGTCCACCTCTGGTTGCGATGCAAGCAACACATCTTCGTCTCATGGAATGGACCAGGCGTCGCACAAAGTCCTGTGGGATATCTGTCCATATCTGCTGGAGCATGTTTCGAAGTTCCTGGAGTGTCTGTTTAACACGTGGTTGACGTTGAAGGCGCTGATCCATCTCATCCCACATCTGCTCGATTGGTGAAAGACAGGGGAGCGAGCCGGCCAGGGGATGACATTCACTTTGTTTTGTTGAAGAGAATCCTGAACAAGTCGAGCAATATGAGGCCGGGCGTTGTCATGTTGGAAGGTAATGCCTGGGCCATAACGACGGAAAAACGGTAGAACAACAGGGCCGATGATCTCGTCGCGGTAGCGCTGTCCATTGAGATATCCCTCTACCAATATCAAACGGGTCCTCTGTCTTGCTGTAATCCCATCCCATGCCATAACGCTGCCGCCCCCGAACCGATCTTCTTCCATGACACAATGATTGATGTAACGTTCACCTCGACGTCAGTACACTCGAATCCGTCCATCGCTGTGGCTGAGGTGAACTTGTCCCCACTGCATGGCCGTCCAGAGTAGACGCTGTCTGCACCACTGTAGACGTGCTTGACGGTGGTCTCCTGTCAAAATGGGACGTCTGGCGGGTCTTCTAGCGACAATCCCTGCACATCTGAGACGTACGGTTTTTGAAGATATTCGTCTAAGGCCAGGGATGCTTCTTGCAGTCACTGTTGCTAGCTGGAATCGATTTCGTAGGTGTGTTGTTCGAATCCAGTTGTCTTGTCGATTATTGGTTACGCGTGGCCTGCCACTCCGAGGCTGGTCTCTCACTGCATTCGTCTGTTGCCAACGTTGCCATAAAAACCAAATGGTTTTTCTGTGGACGTTAAATTGTCTTGCAACATGACGTTGACTCGATCATGCTTCAGGCGGACAGGCGTGGCATTTCGTAATGTTGAATAATTCATAATTTTGTTGTTTTTCTGAGTGATTGTTGTCAGCACGATGCACATGGAATCCCGTTAACGCACATGTTTTTATACCCATTCTTGGGTAGTGAAATGCATGGGGCTTGCATAAAAGTCAACTTTTGCATGGAATGCATGCTTTTCTGTAGCAGTTGCGTTTTTGTGACTTGATTCCATACATGTACTACAATATTGAAAAACAAACCTTACTTGTTTGAAAAATACACTAAAATATTGATGTCACAGAAACTTTTGTTGAGAATATTATGTGTTGAAAAGCTAACACCTGACAATTTCAGAAATTTACTAGATTCAATCTAGTTGTTTTCGGGTCAACTAAATGATATTGCTAACCAAATAATTCCTAAGTCCTCTAAAAATATTCGTAAACCATGGTTTAATAACGATTGCAAACAAGCAAGAACGTGTAGGAAGAAAGCGGGAAAATATTTCCGCAAACTTCCTACAGTTCATAACTTTGATAATGTTACTGTTACTATTGCCAAGGTACGACGTGATTATGAACAAATGAGCGCCAATCTTGGAGAAACTATGTCTCCAAAATTATTTCACGCACACCTATGTCAAGGGTTAAAAAAATAAAAGGCAAAGGTTAAAAATCGTCCGTATCTCACCTTTAAGATGTTGAAAAATTAATAACTGATAAATCTGACATTATAAATAAACTTGCGCGAAACTCCAGCCAAAAATTCAACATCATCAAATTATGTCCCTGGGTTTAAGATATATCAGAAACAACGGGAAAGAAAAGAGCGAATTTATATTTTGATAACGGTGAAGATTATAATGAAGTTTGCCATTACATGAGCTTCATACTGCTCTTGCGCTAGCTCATGATACTGCAGCAGGTGATGATAATATCCACCATCAGTTACTGAAGCATTTGCCTGAATCATGTCTTGAGACAGTTTTGTATGTATATTTGACCACATATGGACGTCAGGGAATTTTCTTCCTCGTGGCAAAATGTCCTTGTAGTCACCACACCAAGA